TTAAGGCGACGGCTGGGCTCGAACCGCTGAAGCGTCGACCATTTCTGGCCGGCAACTTTCAGCGTCATTAAGCCGCTGCGCCACCGTGTCCCCCAGATTATTTATGGGACCACCTCTTCCCATTCTAAGAGGTTACACAAAGTGGGCACACGGCAGGTCCCCTCCCTTAAGTGTTGTCACCTGACAGGAACTCAGAAGTGTGTCTTCTTAGTGACTGCCCAGCCCTCTGAAATAGCCCTACCATCTAATAAGCACTGCAGTGAAGCCTTGATGGTTTTGCATTTGGGTCCTGCGTTTTGATTCCACAGCAGAATGACAAATCCTCATATCCTTCCATGAGCAAAAACTGAAAATGTCAAGAAAATAGGGGAAGGGCTAATCAACCTTTTGGGCACAGTGGCACGGGAAGAATTTTCAGATGTTTCCACCTGAACAGAATTGCTGTGGGTTATCGAGTCAAAGTGGGCTACCTCTAATATTTGGCATGCTGTCATGGGGTGCTGCACCTGATTTCCACAGTGTCATATGAGCAGTCAGTTTGGAGCACTGCCAGAAGGACCATCCCAGCCCACGGGACAGAGAGAAGTTTGGGATAGACCTGGGGAGGAGGGGCGAAGGGCAGGGTGAGGAGCACCTTCAATGCCCAACACAAGCCAAATTCTGTTCAGAGTTTCCTGATTAAAAATGGTTTTCTCCCACTTGCTTCATTTTGCTCATAGGCTAAACATAATTGGTCAGCTCAAAAATGTGAAGGTAGAGAAAAGATTACCTTTCAACAGATTACTAAACAAGTGAGCGCCATACTGTATGAGGTTTATATATACGTATTTCTCAATACTCAATGTTTTAATGCTAAGGCAAATAAGGGACTTAATTTTTTGTGTTGTGTTCTTGTGCTTCAGTTTCATTGTTTTTCGGGAAGATGGATCTCTGGCCTGAACACTGCCCATTTCGCCCTTTCAGTTACATCAAAGAAAGAACAGCACAACCTCTGAGCAACTCTTTCTCTGGGGAGGAAGAAGGTTTTTGTCTCAGTTCCCCATCAGATTGGCTCACTGTGGAACTCGCTACCACTGCTATACCACATGGAACAGTGATAATGGGCCTCTTCTTCTGCCGGAAGGTTGGAGATGGTTAAATAGCCGTTGTTGCCTGATCGGGTTCCCGTGAATCGGTCTGG